TTTGGACTTATTCCCATATAAAATTCAAATGGCCAACAAACKGADYKYTGCAGACTTGCCGATTCGCTTGGAATTTTGCCAGAAGATGCTTCAACTGGTGGAAGAGGATGGAAACATATTGAACTGTCTTTTCATGTCTGACGAGGCCCATTTCGATTTAAACGGCAACGTAAGCAAACAAAAATGTCGAATATGGAGTGCTTTCAACCCACAGATACTCCATGAGACGGAATTGCATCCACTTCGTGTCGAAGTGTTGTGTGCAGTTTCATCACGCTGCATTGTCGGGCCCTACTTCTTCGAAGAAAACGGTCACACCGTTACGGTTACTGGAGACCGTTACTTGAGGAGGTTGAGAGAGTTTTTCTATCCAGAATTAGGCCGAATGAGAATTTCTTTCAACTCCGTGTGGTTTCAGCAAGAAGGGGCAGCTCCTCACATAGCCCAAGCTGTTATGACAGAATTGCGACGAAAATTTCCCAATAAGCTGATATCCAGAAACCCCACATTCCGTTGGCCACCCAGGTCGCCTGACCTTACTGCACCTGACTTTTTCTTGTGGGGTTATTGCAAACAGGAAGTCTACAAAGCAAAACCAACAAATTGGAATGAACTAAGGCAATCCATTCGAGAAACAATTGCGGCTATTCYTGYCTCAACTCTCCAAGCAGTAATGAACAACTTTTTGGTAAGATGCCGCACATGCATCAACGAGCAGGGCGGCATTTAAATTCCATTATTTTTAAAACTAATTAAGCTATATTTAATAAAATTGAATGAGCTTTAACATGAATAAAATAAAAATTATATCCATACACTGAAAAAAAAAAAAATTATTTGAGTTTCTTAGTGTAGCAAAATTCATCACTCACATTAGGTAACTCAAACAACAATAAAACTGACATCATGTACTTGTCGCGTAAGTCCGCCCAGAATACGTTGGAACATGACACCCGTCAAGTGTAATTTTGAAAGTAAAACTTTTTATGAATAACCACAATTTTTCTCCATCAATCGCAATACAAGTCGCCCTGCTAACTTATAAGCACATTTTTCTATTACTTCAATTATATTTCCTATTGTTTGTAGAGTTTACTTCATTCCTCCTGAATATTAGCTATACGTGCCTTTACAGCGTGAGAATTTAACTTAATTTTCACGAAAGATAAAAATTCAACAACTTGTGGTTGTACACCTAGTGGAGGAGTCTTTATTGCGATAGGACGCGTGATTGAAGCTGACCTTACGTCGACCACAGACAACATTCATCAAGGCAAATTGTTATAACTTTAATCTAATTATACATATGTATCAGCATCATACTCTTCTTAACAACCAATTATACATGTAGACTCTATTGTTGATAAAATCAAATACTTATACAAGATAATAAATACTTGATGGTATCTCTCTATATTTTCCTTTATAAACAAATAAGTTGAGTAATTATCCATATCGGTTTTTCAGTAAGCCAATATATAAAGTCACATAGAAAAACGAGCTCATTTAACCGACAAGAACAAACAATCTAAACAAAACTATAAAACATTCTGCTATCTCAGATGTGAATGTAAAGAACTAAAGATAAAGTCTAAATAGTCTTCCCCTTCCGTTATAGACAAGTTGACAACAGCGCGCCAGTCGTTTCTTTTTTCCGCTAGTTGGCACCAATTGGAAATTGGGGTTGGCAGAAGCTCGTAATCCAGGGTGCTATGCGACTCCCGTGCTTATTGGATGATTTGCAGCCAGGAGGTAAATTCGGCTGTATTCGAACGGAATACTGTCGGTTTTGCGACAGGGACCCTGAAACCCCGGAGCAAATGTTAATCGACTGCATTGCAGTCTGTAGGCGCAGGTCGCAGGCCCTTGGAGCCATGTTTCCGGATAGGGATCACATCGCCTCGCTAGCACCCATCAGAATACTGGACTTCGTCAATATGCTGGGGCTAAGCGAGTCCCTGTAAGTTCGGAGAGGGCACAATTGACCTAAGGTCGCAGTGCATTCCTTACTTATTTATCTATCTATCTATTCGAACGGAGCCTTCCCAACGCCGGGAAACAACAACACCCAAACCTTCATCAACAACAGCAAACAGACGCAAGTTCAGCTTCCTGGACGCTCTGTCGCCGGAAGAACGTGCGCTCTTCGAGGAGCATGCACGCGATGACGACGATGTGCCCTCTTGAAGCTTCATTCAGCGCAGAGTGTCCACCGCGACCACTGCAAGTCGCGCGAACCCCGCCCCCGCGTATCGATAGCTGCGGTCCAAGAAACCAAACTAAACAGCCGCTCAGATCTTCTGAGTTGTGCAGGTTTCAACKTTATACGTAAAGATCGCGAGCGAGATAATGGTGGTGGCCTAGGTGGTGGCGTATCGATAGTTGCGGTCCAAGAAACCAAATTAAACAGCCGTTCAGATCTTCTGAGTTGTGCCGGTTTCAACGTTATTCGTAAATATCGCGAGCGAGATAATGGTTGTGGCCTAGCCTTCATATTGCACAACACCGTGCAGTATCGTCTAATCGATGAAGACATCGACCGCAGGGATACTACCCTAGAATGTCAGGGCATAGCTGTCCGGTCAGGCGATGTCGAGCTCGAAATATTTAATATATATGCACATCTCCTAAGTTACATGTTGCCCTACAGGATATCACCCAAATATAGGTGCGCTACTTCGTGGTGAAAACCGTGCTAGGCGACTTTAACACGCACCACGATCTTTGGAATTCCTGTCTGTCAAATGAACGTAGGAGGATGGAGCTGGCGGAACAGATTGACGATTCGACATTCTGCACAATGAATGACGAAGCCCCCACCAGAGTTATGGGCAAGTGTAGTAGCTCGCCCGATATTACAAGCGCTAGTGGTGGTCTGATAAATAGCATAACCTGGCGACCTATGCTAACTCTCGCATCAGACCATCWACCCATAATTATCTCGATCGAGAAACCTGCCGATTTCGTTTCTGTGGACAACCGCACCTTCGTTAACTTCAACAAAGCTAACTGGGTCSBCKTCRCAGAATTTACTGAGAGCACCTTCAACGCTCTACCCATTCCTACGGATGTATGCGTTGGCGAACGTCAATTCTGCAAGGTGATAGCAGTAGCTACCGCTCGCTTCATACCAGCTGGACGAATAGCGGAAATCCGCCCCAACTTCCCAGCCGAAGCAGCCGKTTTAGCTAATGAGCGCGACACCTTACGCCATGCCGATCCCGGGGATCCCCGAATACGAGATCTCAATTTGGAGATTCGGCATATGGTAAACCAGCATAAGCGAACGAAATAGATAGAGCACCTGAAGTCCTGCAACCTCTCCACCGGTGTGAATAAGCTTTGGGCTACTGTCAAAGCTTTGTCCAACCCGAAGAGTCATGACGACCGAGTTGAAGTTCAATTCAATGGTCATG